AGAGTGCTGTAGAAATACTACAATACTCTGGAGTTATTTTGCTAAGTCTTTGTCACATGCATGCAAAGACAGTTAGGAGCAGCTTCTGAAGCAGAGATGCAAGTGTGTAAACATGATTACCCCAAGATTAATTAGGATAGTTTTTAAATCTGGATTTATTTAGTTCTAGCCACTAAATTTGAGTATATTTTCTTTCTATAATGTTAAACACGGAATTAAAGATATTAAATTATAGTGCTTAAAAGAATTTTTAAACTATTGAAGCACCTGTGTCACTTCTTAAACTTGCATTGTTCTTTATGTAGAAATGCTATTGAATGGTATGAATCTGATCTGCTTGTAACTGATGATACAGTAGTAGTATTCTATAAATACCTCTGCCTATTTTTGTTATTTGGGGAAGATACATAGAGGTAAAATTTCATACTAAATATATATGGAAGTTGAACTATAGATTCTTAAGTTGTATTTCTGTTGTACTTTTCTCTTGATAAACTGATTTTTAGTTGGAAACTGCCTAGAGAAGTCAGGCACTCTATAAATATAGTAAAATGAAATATAAAATATTTCTTTTCAGGCTGGTACAGAGGATTTGCCTTAAAAAACCCACATTTCAAGGTAAATTAATTTTTGTTTCTAAATTAAAATGTGTATGTAAACTTGAGGTATTCATACAAAAGTAAAAGTACATCGTTTATTGAGCAGTCATATAAAATGTATACCAAGTGGGAATAATGTTTATGTCTAGGATAATTATTTGATAAGAGATAAAGGGAAACTATAGTTCACTATGGACTATGCTAAGATGCACTAAGAAAAAAACTAACTCTACTTTTGTCCCTCAATGCCATTGTTGCAATACCTAGAAACACCACACCCCAGGGTCCTGTTGGATTTTAGCCATTAATGTGTAATTCTGTAGTGCAATTTTTAATGTTGTCCATGCTTTATAAAATAAAGGTCAAATATGGCTAAGGCATTAAGTCTTGAAGTACGTATTTTGAATAATTTACCTTCCCCACTCAAAGTAGAAAATGTCATTCATTTTATTATTGGTAAGGTCACTACACCACATCAACTCCCTTGCTTGGAAGTCTGATTTTATAAAGTTGGCGCTCCAGTGTCAACTGTCCAACTACTGAACCCAAAATAAGGAAACTTTCTTGGGAACTTTGAATTTCCAAAAGTAAATCTTTATTGGATATACCATTTTGGTTCCGAATAATCAAATCCAGCTCTTGTTTTCTAGCTTGCTTCGTTAAACAATAACTTCCCTTTCTCCCCACCCCTGGGTGATCACATTGTCCAATTATGAGATATCCTTTTGTTATGGGAACAGTCCATCTTTTTTTCAGGTACCTGCAGTTGGTGACCTTGATGGTTGCCAGGGTCTCAAAGTCCAAGCACACATTCTCAGCATTCCATTTCCCCCTTCTCTCCCCACTGTTCATTGTCAAGATGACAAGTATTAAGGTTTGAAAGAAGCAAAGCAGTTCAATCTTGGAATGCTGACCCCCTCCCTGAAGGAAGAGGACATCTGGAAAATATTAAGCATAGATTAATTCCATACCCAGGTAGTTTTTGTCTTCATTAATCTCCTCAGTCATTGAGGGTATTTTGCATGGAACCTTCTTACTAACTTGTTCGCCCTAACATTTTGGGTCCCTACTTACTCAGCTGAGGGATATTATTTCCATTGCATTAAGTATTGTAATTTCACCTTAAAGTACTTTGAATCCAGAACTTTTACCTCCTGGATCTCATAGTGTTCCTACCTCCCCACTACAACAGGAGATGGTGACTTCCCTTCAACTGGCCTTATCTTGGAACAGGGATGTAAAACTCAAAGCTTGAAACAAGTGAGTTCACTGCCCCA